TTTACCAACATCTGGCTATAACGACATTTTTTAAATATTTGATCCTATATACGTAATATGAAAATGCCTCTAGTTAAGACGATATCTGGATATATCGGACAATTTCTTGACAGTGACGTGAGGTTTAAATATATATATAGTATATATGTATATATATAACTTATATATATATAAAGAAAAAAAATTAAAGCCTTTTTGCGATTACATCTCCTTAAACTTGTCAACAAAAACGATCTGGTTATCCAAACATTGACAATTGCAAATTTTCACAATCAGAAGACTGCCTATGTTGGTCTGCAAGATACTCATAATTATCACTAAGCTGACTGATAATTCGATCAATATATGGTTGCTCATCTAATTTACAAGACTTTCTTACAATCATTAACTTTTGACGAGCCTTCATTTTGAATAATTCCTCTTCTGACATGTCATCAATCATTAATTTCATCCTTTCATCGCTTTCTTCAGTTGTGTATTCAATAAGCTTTGCTTTTTTTCTAAGAGGTTCAATGGTATCTTCTGATACGCAGGTGGTTGCCTTTCCTTTCCACTCATTGAACTGATTTCCTTCTTCGATTACAAACTGTTTAATTATTGCCAAAGTCAATCCGCGATCAGCTTCACAACTTACAATGCGGCTTTCATTATTATTATTTATGATATAGTATATTCTCCAAAAATTATTACAGTCCGTTAGGACAACCATTGAATTTAGAGCAGATCTATTATCTATTAACAATAGCTTCCCAATAGCCAGACCTCTTTTACATTCTGCCGCTGATTTCTTGGCCTCAATCCAAATACATTCTGTCCTACTAGGTCCAATAGCTATATCACTACCACCGGTTAAAATAATGTTTGCACCTTTTATTTCTCGTTGATAATTTACATCTGTATGGATGTCCCAAACATTAATGCCTCGTGGTAATTTTAGCGCATCACAAAACCATTTCACTATTTCACCCATTTGTTGAGACTCTGCTTCTTCACCCCATTGAAATGGTGTACATAAAATGGGTTTAAGTGGTTCGAAGTCTTCTTCCATAAACTAGATGAGATAAAATGAAAATTTATTATTGATAAGAAATATATAAGCTATATTTACTGTTATCTCCTTTACTCCAATACAATTTAAAATTTCACGCATTCTTATTTCAGACAAATTTGATACCGAAACCCTATCAGCAGACTTTTGCTGAGAGACTGCTTTTTCTATCTCCTCTAATTTTTCTAATACCGTATCAATTTTATGCTTTCGCGAGGCTGATAGCAAGTATAAGAAAAGAAAAAATTAGTATAAATATTATTTTATCCATTAATTATCATTTTAAAACTTTGATTTGGGCACAAACCATGTGCATTTACAATGACTTGTAGTGGTGTGTCATATGAAGTTAAAAAGTTTCGATCAATAATAAAATCTGCACGTAAATCCGTTTCTTCATCGTTTTTTCTTAGCATAATCTGAGTAACATCAACATCGACTAACTGATTTGACAGTTTCTTTTTAATTTCTCCTTTCAGGTCATCCACAATTCCTTCAAAAAAAACTCTAGTTGGTTGAGCATCTCCATACTTAAACCAGATTTCACATGGACCTAGGTGAGTTTCCTCCAAATTTATTTTTTTTGTACATCTGAGTGCCGCCAAGGGAAAATGTCCCTCTGTAAATTATAGTATATTATTAATTATTTATCTGATTCAGCCCTTCTGATTAATGATGCATCGGGCTTTCAAAATTTGTGCTTTATTGTATGTACATACAATTATTTTTTATCCTATATGTCATATAATTAAAAGTCCGATGTGTTATTGATCAGAAGGGCTGAATCAGATAATAATCAATAATATATTATAATTTACAGAGGGACATTTTCCCTTGGCGGCACTCATATATAAACATGAGGCTCCTTCACAAGCTAATATTTATATTCCTATACTTTACCAATAGAAAGTCCTGTCCGTAAGGAAGGAGCACCTTTTAGAATATCTTGTGTGGACTTGCTGCTACTGGTAAGTGGAACTTCTGCCTTTTTTTGAACTTTCTTTATTTTTGGTGGCATCGTGTTAAAACGATTAATATTTAGTGTGATGAAAATTCAATTCATTTTGATTGGATACTGATTTTATATAGACCTCCCTAAATGTATATTCCCCAAATGCACAGTCTATGAAAGGCTCTCTAAATGCATGGCCTTATTTGGCCTCAACTTATGTAACACTTATAGTTTTTATCACTCTAAATTTTGTAAGACAGCTTTTTGGACGTTTAAGTTTCATATAAAAGATTGGAATTAAGGTGTTTTCCCAACTTTCATTAAAAATAATTCTGACAATTAGTGTTTGTAGCCGATAAAATTTTTATAGGCTAGCCGAGTCGATAATTTGAATAAAACTAACATTGATTCCTTATATGCTTGCACTTTAGTAAACTGATACTAGTGCATTTCTATATCCAAGTAATGCAATGCATAGATCAGTATACCTTTCGTTAAACTAAAAGAATGTAGAATAATTGAACAATATTCTTAACAAATATTATTATTTTATTAGAGGATATAAAAAAAAAGATTTTAACAAATTTGTTCAGATTGATGGTGCTAATTTTAATATTTCTAATTAAATCAGAAATCTTTAACTCATCGGAAACAATAATCTTTTTTTCTCTGAACTTAAAAACATAACTGATTTTGAGAAGTTTCTTGACTAGGTTCTTATTAATAATTTTGACAAGAGTTTCTGCCAATGTACTTGATTTACGATTATGGGGGATGAGAACTATCTGTATCTTACGATAGTGAATTGACTTGACAAAAAATCATTGATCGATGATTGATCAAAAAAATTTTTGTTTAATCGAAAATCAATCATGTATCAATCATGTAAACTTGATCGAAAATGATCGATCAAGACGTAATTTATAGGCTCGAGTATATATGAATCGATCAATCATTAGGTCAATAATTAATTAATCATATTATTTATTAAAAATTTTTTTTTAAAAAAGTAAAATAATGATATATCGTACGAGAATTTTCTTGATTAATCGATTCACAAATATTTGAGGTATTTACAAACTTTATCAAATCACAAGGACAGCTTGGAAAACTCGACACTAGTTATAAATAAACGGCTTTGGAAGCTCGACTTTAGCCATAAATCAATTTCTAATGGTGTCATATCAACTTCAAAGTTTTTTATCATATTAAATAGTTGCAACGTTACAAAGTCTCAGGATCAAGACATTAAGCGTTAAGTAGATTAGTGGGTCCACCAAAATTCAGCAAACGACCTGCAGATCGCCGCCGACCCATCATCGGGATTTACTTATA